AGACGTCCGTCAGATGTGTGACTCTGAGCAAGTCATGTCACCTCTAATCCCCGACTTCCTCTTCATAACATGATAACTTCCTTGCAAGATGACTGTGAGGTTTAAAAGGAATAATATAGGTAAAGCCCTAGCTTAAATGTGCTAGGTACTCCAGAAATGGTGACTAAAATTAGGAGTTACAAAACTGTAACTATATCCAGCTATAGTACGTACTAAGTAGGAATTTTTCTATTTCAAATGTCCATCACATAACTCAAAAGGAATTTTAAAACAATTTTTATTTGAAAGGTAGAGAGATGGTCTGTGACACTGATGTAGAAAGGCAGTCTCAAAATAGCCTCACCAAATTAAAAAATATTCCCATAAAATAAAGGTTAAGGGGGTCTAACCTATACCGAGGTTATGTTTTTTATTTGACCTAGCATTTTTACTCAGTTCCAAATCTTTTGTTTTCATTTTATATATTAATGGTTTTAACAAAGCCCTCAAAAACATTTCCTCTTTATTCCATACTATCTTTTTACAGATTGACCGTACTTGTTACGCTTCCTCAGCCTGTCTAACCACTGCTTATTAAGTGTTTAAACAGACCCAGTGACACACGATGTCCATGATGCTTTGGGCCCAATGGGGATGAGAGAGCAAACACAAAGTGTATCAAAGACAAAGCACTGGTCAGATCTGAAGGTCAGCTACCACAGTGGTTATGGGTTATAATGAAAAAGCTAGTACTGCTGTAACATAATTAAACACCTAGACTCATGCTTAATGGTAACTATAAAGCAAATTAAAGATCTACACAATCGCAGTTACACCTACGTAGCTCTTCTGAGAAATCTATCCTTGATTACGAAGAAAATTTGAGTTTGAGGCTAACAGACATACATGATTATAAGTGATACATCTCAACAACATAAAAATTGTAAAGACAAAGTGTAACAACAGTGGTATTACTTTCAAGAACTGTGTTGGGAACTAAAAAAGAATCTCACAAAATTAGATAAATATATCCAGTCTGACATAAACACCATATGGTAACGGCTTTAAGAGACAGGAATTGTATGTTGTGTGTTAAAATTATGACACGGAGGTAGTAAAAGCTGGAAAGCAAACAGAATTTGCACAGTTGGGTCTTAAGCCTAATATTTTATTTTTCTAGATAAAAATAAGATTGCAATATTCTAGCTTTGGAATATTAAAGTTTTGTCTAGCAAAACTTTATACAAGGAAGCAGTTGCCATTATATTGCAAAAGTTTCCAAATAATGGCGTGCAGTTTAGCAGATCCTCCCTGGCTGCACCATTTATTGAATGTTAGTTTAAAATAAAACTTAATGTCACTACATTTGCAGCAACTGAAAATGGTCTCAAAATTCAATAATTTTCTTTTTCTTACCCAAGGGGCTAGAACGAATCCCACAGTATAGTTAGGAATGTTTTAAGTGCCCTCTGGTCACTGAGAGTACTGAGCACACGGATACCATACACCTTACAGAGACTGAGAGAGCACTGTAACATTCGAGGTCTTTCTATCAAGGAATACTGTTTTGCAATAGACAAATATTAACAGAAACAGCTGAAATAAATCGGCAATATGCTGCCTCAAATCCTTCTTGAAAGTAGGCAGTGTCAGTATTATAAATCAATAAATAGTATTTAGATATTATAAATCTAAAATAGTTTATAGTGTTTGCCTCCCCAAACAAAGGATCTCCCCCAAATCCTACCAACCCCCGCACAAAAACCTGATGTAAATAAATTTTAAATCCTTACCTTTGAGAAAAGTAGTATAATCTTTCTATCCACATAACAAAAAAGACATGCAAGCTCTGCTGCTGTATCTATCGTATTTGGAGCAGCCCCATTTTGTAAGCAGCTTGGCTACTGAATCCTGTGCACTGAGAAAGACAGTTGGAGCTACAGTCTCAAATTAGCCTTGTCCAGCTATTTCAGAATGGCAGGGGCACTTCACCTCTGCAAAAAGGCAACAGTGGCCAGAACGGGAAGTATTTCTAGCACCTCATTAACAGAACAGTAGTCAGCAGTGGTTCCACCACTAATAGCTCTGCTTCTTGCAAGGAACAGGTGAAATTAGAAGAGGTGAACGAGAGGCAGCAAAGAAAGAGGAAAGAAAGGAGAAAGTCAGGGGCAAGTACGAGGAAGAGGTCAAGGAAAACGTAAAATTTAAACACACACACAAGAGGGAGGCAGGAGAGAAAAAAGTGATGCCCAAGATCCACAGGGAAGAACCAGCAAACAGACACTCATGATTGTAATATGTAACTGAGACATCTCAACAAGGTAAAAATGGCAACAAGCTGAACGAGAAGCAGCAAAAAAAATGAATTACTTAGTATACAGTAAGTAACTAGTTTATCAAAAAAGGAACCAGCTCTGACAAGTTAGCATGCCTAAAGTTAAACAAGAGGCAGTCTGGCTCACCAGTGCCTCCCCGGCGGCGGCGGAGACTGTTGAGAGGATTCGCATTCACAAAGGGAATCCCCACGTGCTCTTTTAAAGAACCGACACTGTGAGCTCATTCAAAATGGGATTTGTGAAAAATTTATCTAGCTCCAATGGATGTAAGATACAAAGATATCATCTTTCTTTCTGAATTTATAAAAACTTTTCACTCAGAATGAAAGCACTATTCTACTTTCCAGAAATACAAAAATTTTAATTCAAAGGATCATAAAGCATTAAAAACTTTCCTCGCTGTTTATAAATTGGTAACACACCATGTGGTATGAATGCCTGTTCTTTTTATGAATGATAATTAGGAAAAAAGGTACAATTCACTCTAGTAATGTAGCTAAATCTACCCCCGCAATACCAAGCATAGTTGAATATGCTGCTTTACGTGTCTTATACAAGATTGATCATCTGCAAATTCCCAACCTAACCGGAAATCTAAGGCAATGTTCTAATCGAGACCATTTCTGTCCACATGTGCTGCAATTTTCTATAAAAAACTGTAACCTACAATATTTTGGGGTTGGACACTTGTATACTTGAGGGTCTTCTATACGTCCAGTTAATTCTACGGACTCACAGGCATGGGGTTCCTGACAGCGTCTGCTCCGGCTGGACAGACTCTGCCTACATCAGTCTCTTCAGGACTTGGGTGCCCATGTGGATTATTTTACATTTGAGGAAAATAAATTAGTGATTATATAATAACTTCTGACTCTAATGTAATAATGACCACCTCATTTGCACAGAATATACTTTTGAGTTTTCTAACCTTGTTCAATATTTTACGCGGATTCGCCCTCGGTTTTCCTAACTGATCCTTTGGGTCAGTGGCTACCTGGGACTAAAGGTACCAAACTGTGACAATAAACAAAATACTCAAAGTCATACTGGGAAAGGACAAGGGACTTGGCTGGTACTGGCCTGCTACAGAGTTTTAGTGAATGCTGTCCTCCAGAATGAAATATGCACACTGAATTGTTCACCTCTTCCTTTTGATGCTACATACAATTAAAGAACATAGAAGAGTCAAAACAATAATCATACAACAGAAAAACAAGAAACAACACAGATGTTAGCTGTTAGTCTAATAAGAAAAATGAAAGAGTGAAAAGTGGTTCTCTCTAAGCCAGACTTTATGCATTTTGTTTATTTGGCACCTAACAGGCTCCCAATAAATGTCACTCACAATTGTATACAATAAAACTAACAAAACTTTAACACCAGTTATAAAGGAATACTAAATAAGACATTACAAAATCATCTCCCTCCCACCCCCCAGCAGTAGTAGTATTATAGGAAATTAAAAAGTAGTCTATGTAAGTTAACAAGTTATTTTCTTTATAATGGAAAAAACAGTCAGAGGAGGACTTTATTAGTCACCCAAAGTGGGCATATGCTCCTTGTCCTGCAATGAGTACTAGACAGGCACTCTCAGTGACAGGTCGCGATGTGAGTCTGAAACCCACGTCTCTCTAATGTGTATCACAAAGAACATTTTACCCTTGTTTCAAGGGCTGCAGAATTCATTTGTGCTATAAAATGACCTTAGCTTTGACGGCTTCCTTTTTGAATCTCTTGGCATCTAGTAATTTCACAAAGCCCTGTTCTTCTGGCCAGTGAAGAACCCGATTCACATGAACAGGACAAGGGCAATGTGTTCACCTTTCCCGGGCTCAAGACATTTTAGAAAATGCATCCTATGGGAATCCTTGACTCAAGGAAACTGTGTAGTGATTCCTGGAGGGTGGCAGGAGATGTTCTGGGAGGAAAAGTCTCTCAAATAAATTACACCACCAAGCGGGCAGCCCACTTGCCTGACAGTAAGCTTGGCACTGATTATCGTATTACGTGGTGTTAACGCGTTCAGCACATTCGTGTATTTTGAACCGCTCAGCATGGTCCTGTACTGAAAGCCAACACAGCACTAGCTCTAAGTACTCAGTCTGTGTAAATGTATGTTGCATAAACTAGACTCATATGTAACTTTCATGGTAGATGATTCTAATTTTAATTAATCTGTTATTTCTCGAGAACAGACATATTTTTACTTCCTATAACTTCGTGGCAATATTTTGAACATGGTACTGAAATGATAAACTACCCTTGTTATATTTCAATCCTTAATGAGAGATTTATAGATTTTTCTAGTCCCCATTTTAACATACTCAAACGTAGAAAATAAACTAAATACACAGCTCAAGTGACTTTCTTTTTTTACAACTTTAAGGAAAATGCTGAAAACATAAAATGCCATATTTTACCTTAATTTTTGGAGAAATTATAAAACAGAAATTCATTAATGTAAATAAAAATATCCCCTCAAAAGAAGTCCTCAAATTTTACAGATAATAGTGCAAATTAAATAATTCACAATTACAATCACCTCAAAATTGTATCCCATTTCATTACCTAATTCTGTTATCTTCTTGCAGTTTTATGATTATTCTAGTGAGGCTGAAATTTATGAATTCTATTAAAATCAAAGGCTTTATAGTACATTAAAATAATACTGAGACTGCTATGATCTCTTATGAATAATTACTGTTTTAAACATCTTTGTCTTCACATAAATTATGAAGATTTAACTCAGAAGAAAAATATTATAATACCATAATCCATTAAATAAAAAATACAGTGAGCTAAGTCAAAGTCAGAATTTTAAGAAACAATTAAGGTAATATACTCAAGAGCACTTTTCTTCTTCATTAGGATGGGAAAGTGAAAATAAAGTTAGCATTTCACTCCGTGACAGCAAGTTCACGGTAAACACTTGACTATCTCCAAAAATACACTTCTCATTGTTTTATAATAACACGTATTTCATATTGTGAGTTAGCATAGTAATTTCTCTTCTTGAAAAGACGTTACAAAATGAAGCACTGAAATGAACAAAACCTCACAGGCAAAATTTTAGGAAATCTGAAATCATCTTGCCTGGGTCATAATTCAAAGACAGTGACAAATGTTGTTAGGGGGAAAACAATCAGTACAAATATAAAATGTGAAAAGTTTTTAAAAACCAGACAGAATATAAAACAGACTTGAGTGAAAGCTTGGAGAGATATTTAGAGAAATGAGGTATGATGGAGGCATAGTGCTACAATGTATCTCAAAGTGTTAGTCAATAACCTATGTTTCAAAGTTGCAAAATCAACAAATCATAAACTATGTGCTGCTTTGTTCACATGATCCTTCTGGTCAGATGTTTAATTGTCGCTTATACATTTAAAATAAGCATGAAGCTAAATGTATGATTGTATGATAAGCTCATCTGTCGCATAAGAAGGCAAATTATTAGTAAAGATGTAAGCAAACAATTTTGTATTAATAATAAATACAGCTTTAAGCATTTAACATTATCAATAATTAAAAAATTTAAATAATAAATGCAACTATTTTATACAGAACTGTACCATTTATTATACACACAAGTATATCAGTTCCCTTTGTTTACAAAGGCTGGTTATAGATAACGTGGAATGTTACAGTACCATCTTGCATAAAATTCTAGGACAATTTTGTACTTGAAAAAGGTGCAAAAACACCAGCCTAATAAATGTGACTGAATTATCTTTTCTTTTTTTTTTTAGAAAGTACATCATTAATACACACACCACAGACTGTACATAAGTTCACTTTTAAATCACCGACTGAAGACACAGTAGTAGCAGGTAGACTGTCGTATTAACCGCCCCTTCCACCAGTTTAATTTATTAAAAGCTTGCACTGCTTCTCATTCAAGAGCCTTTGTCAATGTGTAAGCTTGTGAAAGAATTACTGAACCCAGGTAAGTACAATTTAAAGGAGGCCAACAACAGCTGCCGAGATTATTTGTAGTAAGAAATGTCCTTCCCACAGAAGACTCACTTAGGAGCAAACATTCTTTAGGACAGCCTTCAAATACACTGTAGCTGGTCAAGATTCTCCATTTTGGACTCTGCAGGCTGGTGGCTGCATGAAATCCTTAAAGGGTACTAGTGCCTCCTTGAGCGCAGAGCACACTTCTGAGGACGAGCAGGTGATGCATTCTACTAGAGTTGGGTATAAGGCAATTACTTGTGCCCACGTATTTCCATCAACTGTAATGCAAAAGTGTAAAGCCTCAGAAAAGGGTAGATTAAAATAGCAGAGAATTATCCAATTAATACAAACACAATCCTTTAAATGCAACGTAAAGAAAAAATTCTGAATAAAGATTCTACAAGCTCACAGCTTTTCATCTTTAGGTTCCTGCTATATTTAATTAGATATGTGAAAAACGTATAGTCAGTGTGCAGTCATCAATACCAAGAAATCTGAGAAAGTACATTTTAAATGGTACTTCGACTTGTGAAGGCTTTGGAAACTAACAAAGTAACTCAGAGTAATCCAAACCTTGGCATTGCAGTGTGAGTGCCGGAGAATACAGTGCACATCTCAAGAAGAACTGTCCACGATTCAATCTGTGTTTAGTTGTCTGGTAAAAATATAAATCATTTCAAATATAAAATATATTCAGTGCTTTTTCTAATAATATCCTTAATATTGATGTTACAGGTGCACTCCTCCATGGCACTGTTTGATTATCTTCAGTGCTTTTTCTAATAATGTCCTCAATATTGATGTCACAGGTGCACTCCTCCACGGCACTGTTTGATTATCTCCAACAGGTATCACTAGAAGCAGGCACCAGCGGGGAGGGACCAGTCTGCCTTCCCCTCCACTACTGTGAACAACGAGGATGGCTGAATGCTACTTTCTGAATGGGCAGAAGTGTTATGTCCCAATCAGCAATCTTCTTACCCTCCGAGACCACACACTGCATTTCTGTCCTTCCGTAAGCACTGTGCATGGAGTTGAGCACCAATACACAACAAAACCTCATCACATTTTGTTAGATAGTAAATGCTTTGTGGACCACATCTCAAATCGGAGAGGCAGTGGAGTCTACACGAGGGGTAAGGAGCTTTTTAGACCATTTTTCACTCCAATTTACTGGGTGTCAGTTGCTTAAAATTGTTTCTGAAAAAAGGCAATGACTTGGCATCTCTAGTCATTTAATTTCTCTTTATCTCATCTTTGTCTGAGGTACAGAAAAGGAATGGGTTTCTTAAACTAGTGTTCCTCACTTCACTTCTTAGGGGAAAGTTCATGGTCAAGTAAGTGCATGAACAGTGCAGGATGCAGATGGTGTATCTCTCTCTCTTTTTAGAGACCAAAACTGCATATTAATTACAGGCTTGCCATAAAAGAGCAGATTTCACTTTACCTAACCAAGGGTTTCCAGAATTAATTGGATTATAGCAATTTTTCCACCCAGTGTCTACTGCCATCACCCATCATTAATGTCCACTCCTTTGTGTTTATCTTGAAATGCTGAACTGTCCATTTAACGTCTTTTCCCAAACAGGGAAACCTCTTTCACTCAGGGTAGGTATGGGAAGAAAAGGGGTGTGGGGCTGATGAGTTTGGTGAGGGTGGGAATGTCAGCAAAGATACTGTTCTGCTTTTATCTGTTTGTTCATTAAGAATTCAAATCACATTTCAGTTGCAAAAGAATTCTGCTGCTTAACAGAAAAAAAAAGTATTAAAACCACTGGTCTAAGAAGTTTTGAGCAGTCTCCCAGTTGTCTTCTGTCAACTTCACACCAGTCATTTAACACAGATTGAAACCTGTCCAGGGTGTCCAGATGGGAACTCAACTGCCCACATGAATTTTTGGTTTATCATAGGAAAACATAAAAATACATTAAAATAAAAGCACAAAAGAAGCCTCCAATTCCTTAAACTATAATGTATTTTTTAAAAACCCACCATGTACTTTTGCTGGAGACTTTGGCTTAACTATCAAAAAGAATGACAAAGCTGTATAAATTGATATGGAAAAATGTGCACTGATAAGTCTGTCAAGAGAGGACTAGAGGACTGCAGGACATGAGTGTAATGTGGGTTGCTGCGCACGTTCGTCTGCGCACAGAACGGAGGGTTAGTAGAACACGTGGTTTGTATTTACCTAAAAGACTGGGGGATCAACAAACTAATAAAATGGGTGCCAACAGTAAGGCAAGAACTGGGCAGAGAATAAGGGAAAGAACATATTTTTAAAATTCCCTATATATCTTTTTATATTTTTGGATTGTTTTTTCTTTTTGGAGTCTTATTCTGTTGCCAGGGCTAGAGTGCAATGGCGCCATCATAGCTCAGTGCAACCTCCAACTTCTGGGCTCAGGGAATCTTCCACCTCTCAGCCTCTTAAGTACCTGGGACTACAGGTGCATGCCCCTAAGACTGGGTAACTTTAAAATTTTTTCTTGTAGGCTTAGCACCTGTGGCTCAGCGGTTAGGGCGCCAGCCACATGCACTGGGGCTGGTGGGTTCAAACCTGGCCCTGACCTGCTAAAACAACAATGACAACAACAACAACAACAACATCATGGCTGGGTATTGTGGTGGGCGCCTGTAGTCCCAGCTACTTGGGAGGCTGAGGCAAGGGAATCACTTAAGCCTAAGAGTTTGAGGTTGCTGTGAGCTGTGATGCCACAGCATTCTACTGGGGGTGACATAGTGAGACTCTGTCTCAAAGAAAAAATAATATATATATATATTTTTTTGTACAGACAGACCTGGGCTCAAGTAATCCTCTCACTTGGCCTCCTAACGTGCTAGGATTATAGACATAAGCTACTGTGTGTGGTCTTATTTTTAGATTTCTGAGTCATGTCTCTGTATACTATCTATTTATAAATTTAAATAAAGTTCAAGTAAAATGATAAAAAGAAAAAAAGTCCAACAAATGTCTCTTTC